TCAAGTATTATCACAAAGATTAAAAAAGTAACGGTACAAAATGAGAGACAAAAATTTAATTAAGGGAAAAAATTTTTTATGTAAAAACACTTGGCGCTACTATATCTTAAAATATAATAATATAATAGTAAAAACTTGAATATAATTTACACTGAATAAGTAGAAAATTGTTGTCAATGTAATTCATTACTTTTATATTATTTTCATTGTTTTCTTTATTTGGTCTAGATGCGCCAAGTGTTTTTACATAAAAAATTTTTTCGTTAAATTAAATTTTTTGATTGGAATAGAAATATCTTTAATGAGAGTACAAAGATACGTACCACTTAGGTTTTATTTTTATAAAAATCTTTACTTTTAAATTTTTTATAGGATTGTAATTTAGCGCCAGTTATTGATATCAAATCTTTTATTGGGTTTAATTTGGTACAAGTTCTTTTTAGATACATATCATTTGGATTGAGTAAAATATCACAATACCACTTTCATTTTTTAAATTTGATACTACAAATTTTTTAAGAACGCGTACTCTTAACGCCCTTTTTATCTTTTTTAAAAAGATTATTTTGTACTGATTATTATAACATTACAAATTTTTTGATTTATAAACGTTTATGTAAATAAAATACTTTATAAAATGTATTGTTATTATTAATATAAACATTTTCTTTCTTTTCCTCATCTCCCGTCAAAGAGATCTCCCCACTTAACCGTGAAAACCAACCGCGCATGCACGATTGAACAAAGATGCAGATGGGCATCTCTCTAGGCATCTCGTTTTCTATCTCTTTTTATGTGCTCACTCATTCTTAGTTGGCTTCTCTACACCTTGCTTCTACACCTTGCAAGCAACAGGTAAAGTTGTATCCGTCTGCAATATTGCAGCCGTCTACGATGCACGTCACGACTGCGGAGACGTCAACAGAGAGGGCGGAACGTGCGCTGCACATAGTCCACCAATGGATGGTGGAAAAGGAGAGGCGCCGGAGCGGAGAATGGGCGGTTCCGGAAGTGGCGGCCGAGGAAGAGGTCGAACCAGAGAGCCCCAGGTTCGAGCCGGTCACGCCGCCGCTACCGATAGAAACGGAAGAATAAACCTAACAGATATAAGATTATATATTTTTTCTATAAGTGCATTTTATGATTTTATATTGTCATGATCAATCATTAATTTGAGATATTCGATTCTAACTATAGATTGTTTGCTATTTAACTATTATGTTTTATACAGCATTATATATAGCATGTAAAGTATGGATGAATGAATGAGTGTGTGAATATATAAAATAAAATAAAATAACGTGTAATCAACAAATATCGTTCCCTATAATTTAAAATCCTTTACCTGGACGCAGAAAACAATAAAAAGAGAAGTAATAAATAAGAATAGTGATGACAATTCGGGCGGCCGATAAAAAAATAAATATAATCCATGCGTTAGTTTTTATTTTAATAATGGTTCAAGCATACATA